GTTTAATGTCAGTCTTTCACATAATTGTATCTGATATTTTAACAGAAGGTATGCTCAAATGCATGTGGGTACAGATCAATGCCTTCAGAGCACATTGTTACTTACTCTTGAACTAGTTCTGATTCATTTTATAACCTGATTTGCACAACCATAATATTATCACATTGATTTTTACAAATACTTGTTTATATATATATATATATATATATATATCTTTCATACTTGACAAAGAATATTAGGTATGTTCCAGATGTTCACTTAAAGGTTAATTTAGTCACCACTAGCAGAACCTCAGATTCAGAGGTCAAATGGAACCCTGTCTGTGCTAGCACTAATCATGCTGCAGTTCTTTTGCAGCAGAAATTATAGCTGAGTATTACTCACGAGACAAAATGCAAATGTTTAGTGATTATACGTTTTTCTTAACTCCCCAGATGGAGTTTTTTCACCTTTGTTTATTAGAGAACAGCAACTGAACGTTGAAATGCAGTGGTTGATGCCAGCAATCCAAGCTTCATTAGTACAGATGAAGCAATGTTCACTTTGTTACACAAATAATTAGAGAGATTAAATGAAAATAAACACCGAGAATGTACAAAAGTTGAGTTAGGTAATCATTTTAATTACCCTAGTGACTTCCACCAACGTTCATAATCAGCCACAGATCAAGTTTAAATTGTTTTATGTAAGAATATCATAAACTATATGGAAAAGTACTATCGCTACTCAGTGATATTAGGACTCATTAAAGTGACCGATTCTTCAAACTTCCATTTAAAGGAATTGTTTCTATTCTATTATCCAATACGCTCACTAAATATTTTTAAAGGTGATAAAATCTTGCACTTGAGAGAATTTTACCTGGTTTTGTGCTCCTAATAGACACCCTTAATATTCTGTGCATCACTATCTTTACTTATAATTGCTCATAAAAGATGTAGATCAACATGTCACGGGGAATATCTTACTGAGTGCATGACAAACCGCAACTTTTTTTTTTTTTGGTGGGGGGAGGGTTGGGCCGCACCTGGTAATGCTCATGAAATACTCCTGGCAATGCTCAGGGGACCATAAGGGGTACCGGGGATTGAACCCAGATCAGCTCTACACCGTAACAAACTGTACTATCTCTCCAGCCCTGACAAACTGCATCTTGAACTTGGAGTAAATTGATTTTCTCTCTCTTAAACTTCATGCCTCAACTTGAGGACACACTAATGTCTTCTTGACTAGCAGAAGCCTTTTTTTAGTAGAGGTGTTATCGGTCCATTTAGAATGGATTTCATTATATAGTCCTGTGTGGAGACAATTCTGTGAGATATTCATATTCTGGGTCAAGAAATTCTTTTCATAAGGTCTTTAAATACAACTTACTGGCCCCTTGCATAATTCCATCTCCTCTGCAATACACTTTACCTAATATCCTATTTAACCTTATACGATACTCATGGATTATTGATTAATAAGTCCATCTTCTAGATCAGAGGCTTCCTAACGAGTTTGGCCTTTAAAAAGACAGAAGTGCCCTCTAAAATTCTACTTGCTTTTGTTGACAACTACCTGGCAATTTGTGTCTCTCACCATCTGGTGGCTTCATCAGTAAACCCTACTTTCTACCAATACATGTAAATTACACTTTTGAAATTATCATTAAGTAATACTCAACTCTATGGCAACTCTTTTCTATTTCGTGTACTATTGTATGTATTTGGTGTTATAATCTGTCCAGCATGAATCATCCGTGATACACACCACCCAAATGAGAGCAATCGGTGATATTGTCACCTTGTCACCATTGTTAAGGAAACAGTCAGTAAGAGTTCTGTTTGCACCCCAACCCCCACTGTACCCAAGGTTACCACCACCCCATTGGGTGGTTCTAATGATATCCCAGGTTTATTGACTACTTTGGGAAATACTGTTCTAGATTTTAGGATCTTAAATTGAGTATTTCAACTTGGGGTTATGTAACTGATTGGGCGTGGAGGAGTAGATCCCCAAAAACAGTCTTTTATTTTATTTTTTGTTTTGTTTTTGGACCACACCTGGCTGTTCTTCAGGTGTTACTCTAGGCTCTGCACTCAGAAATTACACCTGGCAGTCTTTGGGAACTATATGAGATGTGGGAATAGAAGCCCGGACCTCAGTATGCATGGCAAGTGTCTTACCTGCTGTACTAACTCTCTTCTCCCTGACCCAATGTGTCTTTTTAAAATGTGTTTCAGTAAAAGTTTTTGAATGTGCAATGAGTAAGAATAGTTCAATGTTTAGCCAGAGAGACAGAAAAGGAGTTTAGGCATAAGTCTTGCACAAGGTCAATCCTAGTTCATTCAGCTCTATCCCCAGAATTACAGATCGTCCCCTGAACCCTGCCAGTCAAGAGTAAGTCATGAGCACTGCTGAAGGGTGGCCCTTAAACAAACAAAAATTCATAGGACACCTGTGAATTCTGAGGTCAAGTTAAAACCCCCATTTCTAAAATGCTGCTGATTTTTAAAAGGTTTTCCTTTGAGAAGAAGCAACTGCAAAATAAGTGTATGGTCTAGTGGAATTTCCAAGAGTTCCCAGTTACGGGAGGCTGGTAATGCCTTTCAGTAACCAACTGAGCTTTATTGCAGCTAACCCAAGTCATTTCTATTCCAATAACTCTTTTTTTTTTAATTTTAAAGAAAGAACACTGCAGCAGGGTAAAGAAAATTTAAGTCATCTTTGGTGTCTGTGTGCCACTTTCTCGCGTTTAAGAAAACCAGCCTTCACTGATTTCCTTTCTTTGTCCCACTGACAAGCTACATCAATTCCCATGGGCAGAGCCTGGAGCCCTGGTGAGACCACACGAAGACCCCGTTAGGCTGTCAGAGAGTGTATGGCTACAGGAATCACTGTTTCTACCATTAGCAGGCACTCAGCTTTCCAACCTAAAGTCTAAGTGGTAGGTGAGCCAGACAGAAGACTAGGAGAACGCTGAACCTAAGAATTTCACTCAGGTTTCAGGCTCTGAGAGGGAGGTTGGGGACGAAAATCACAGACCTCCCCCCCTCACCACCAGCACTAGCGCCCGATCTAATAGGTGAGAGCCGCAAGGATAGGACTGAGAAAACGAGAAAACTCTAGTCAGAAAGGCTGGAGGCTATTATACCCCAGAGCTCTTCAGGCCTTCCTCATTCAGGGTGCACTCTGGGGCCGGGAAAAGGAGGAGGAGAAGGAAGTCTGTGTATGAACAAGACTGAACCCACAACGCTGAGAAGAATTTCTGGTGCTCAGAAATTCTTGATTCTAGACTGCTGGTGGGCGAGGCTCTTGCTTTGCTTCTTAGGGTGAGGCTATGAACCGAACCCTGAATCCTCTTCCATCCCCATCCGATTACCTACAGCCTGAGACATATCCAGTAGAGCTGCTCACGGCCCCAAACACACGCAGCATCAACTGTTTGCCCATCTCACCGCATCTTCATCGCGCTGTAGAACCAGGGCGCCGTTTGGTGTGAGTTGCAGGATTCCACGCAGGAGACCCCGCCCCGCCCGTTGGGGGGGGCAGCTGCGGGCCGAGCCCCGACCTAGCAGGGGACACGGGTTCTATTTCCACCTGGCCCTTTGCCACTGACCTTGGAGAAATCTCTGAAAATCCCGCAAGTCTTGGCTTTCTCATGCAGAAAATAAAGGTGATGCTACTTCCCGGGCCTCCTAGAAAGGAGGTCGTCGGAGGCTCAAACGGGAATTGCGTCTCCAAACGGCTCCAGACAACCAACCAACCAACAAAAAACAACTAAGTTCACCGTCCCCAGCAGGAGTTTTAGGAATTTCCGCCCAGTGATCTAATTGCAGTCCAGGCAGCATCCGTGCGGCTCGGCTTCTCAGGTGCCAACCACCTCGGTGCAGTTAGCACCCCCTCTGCCCACCCCCCACCCCCCGCCACCCCTCCAGGGTCTAACTAGTGATTTCTGCCGTTCAGTGACAGCGCTCTGGGTTGCAGCTTTGGGCGCACCCCAGCCCACCCACCCCGCAGGCGGGCACTAAATCCGGGATGCTTTTTTGCCCTCTCGCCTCCCGAGTTTTCCGCACGTGAACGGGCTTTGCTGGCCGATCTCCCAAGACCTGGTTGTATTTCCGAAAGCGGAGAGCGTCCAGGGCCGCCCCCCGACTCGAGCCAGCAGCCACTCCCGCCCGAGATCGTGCGGCCCCGCGGGGACCCTCCTCCCTCGCCCCCTCCCGCGGCGCAGCAGCCGCCCCCGGAGCTCGCTCGCGGGGCTGTGGGCGCAGACCCGGCAGAGCGCCGCTTCCCACCCCCCCCCCACCCCCACCTCGCCACCCCTCTCCGCCAGTAGCAGCGCTGCTGTCTTGCCACGGGCGGACTGGGAGGACACTGGAGTCTGCAGCGCCCCCGCCCCCTCGCTTTTTCTTTCTTTCTTTCTTTCCTTCCCGGCTTTGGGATCTTGCTGCCGGAGCCGGGAGAGGGACCCACCGAGCGGAGCGAGAGATCCGCGCGCCAGCGCCGGGGACCGAGCGCGGACAGAGCTGGGAGGGGTGCACCACATCCCGGGCATCCGCTGCCGGTCATCACATCCCGGGCATCCGCTCCCGGTCCTCGCCACCCTGGAAGGGATGTGACGAAGCTCCCAGACTCGGCTCCCCCTGCCCTCGAAGGCGCCCCCCGAGCGCGGCAGGGGCCCGCGGCGGGGGTGGTCCGCAGCGCCGCGGGACGGGAGCAGAGCCCGTTCTTTTTTTTTTTTTTTTTTTTTTTTTTTTGCAAAGGAGCGCGGGGAGAATCGCGGCTCGGCACAACTCCAGGACCGACCCACCGCGCGCCACCAGACCGAGTCCCGCTTGCCCGCCGCCAGCTCGCCCGCCCGCCCGCACGCACGCACTCCCGGCAGCAGCGCGATCTCTCTTGGCACCTGCGCTGATCCCCCTACCAAGCCCGACCCCGCGGCGCCCGGAGCCCCCCATGGAGAGAGCGCGGGCCGCAGCTGCCTGAGTGCGACCACCGTCGCCGCCGACGTCCCAACTCCGCGCCGGGCTCCTCCGCTTCTCCCCTCCTCGCGGGGCTGGGGAGAGGCCCCCGGCGAGCGCACCATGAAGTCCGTCCTGTTCAGCCGCTTCTTCATCCTCCTGCCCTGGATCCTCATCGTCATCATCATGCTCGACGTGGACACGCGCAGGCCCGCGCCCCCACTCACCCCGCGCCCCTACTTCTCGCCCTACGCCGCGGGCCGCGTGGGGACCCGCCTCCCGCTGGGCAGGGTCGGCCCCGGGCGCGGCTCGGAGAAGCGCAACGAGTCGCGACCCCAGCCCCGGCGAGAGCAGCTGCCCACGATCTATGCCATCACGCCCACTTACAGCCGCCCGGTGCAGAAAGCCGAGCTCACCCGACTGGCCAACACGTTCCGCCAGGTGGCGCAGCTGCACTGGATCCTGGTGGAGGACGCGGTGGCCCGGAGCGAGCTGGTGAGCCGCTTCCTGGCGCGGGCCGGGCTGCCCAGCACGCACCTGCACGTGCCGACGCCGCGCCGCTACAAGCGGCCCGGGCTGCCGCGCGCCACCGAGCAGCGCAACGCCGGCCTGGCCTGGCTGCGCCAGCGGCACCAGCACCAGCACCAGCACGCGCAGCCGGGCGTGCTCTTCTTCGCCGACGACGACAACACCTACAGCCTGGAGCTCTTTCAGGAGGTAGCGACCGGCCCCTCCGAGCTGGGGAAGGGCTGGGGGGGCGTTCGAAGCTGGGCGTGGAGCATCCCCGGGGTCCCTGGGGGTCCAGGCCGGGCGCGGAGCATCCCTAGGGTCCCTTGGGGGTCCAGGCCGGGAGAGGAGCATCCCCGGGGTCCCTGGGGTCCAGGCCGGGCGCGGAGCATCCCCGGGGTCCCTGGGGGTCCAGGCCGGGCGCGGAGCATCCCCGGGGTCCCTGGGGTCCAGGCCGGGCGCGGAGCATCCCCGGAGTCCCTAGGGGTCCAGGCTGGGCACGGAGCATCCCCGGTGTCCCTTGGGGGTCCAGGCCGGGCGCGGAGCATCCCTAGGGTCCCTTGGGGGTCCAGGCCGGGAGCGGAGCATCCCTAGGGTCCCTTGGGGGTCCAGGCTCGGCGCGGATCATCCCCGGGGTCCCTGGGGGTCCAGGCCGGGCGCGGAGCATCCCCGGGGTCCCTGGGGGTCCAGGCCAGGCGCGGAGCATCCCCGGGGTCCCTGGGGGTCCAGGCCGGGCGCGGAGCATCCCCCGAGGGCCAGTTGAGCTGCCGGGGCTCGCCCCCTTCCCCACTTTTTTTGAGTTCTCACTGGTCCGCGCACCTATAAGGGACGCCAGGTGGATGGAGCGCGCGTCGCGGGCAGCCCGCGGCCCCAGGCTGGCCACGGGAGTGGAGGTGGGTGCGAGGACCGTTGCGACTCCAGCCAGGACGCCGGGGACTTTGCAACCCACCTGGCCCCCGAGGGGAAAAAAAAAAGCACGTGTGCGAGGCGCGGGAATGGTTTCCGGGAACAGAGCTCGCTCGGAGGGCCGGTCTGAGAATGGGACCCCAGGTGGGGAGGCGTTATCCTTGCACCCTGGAGCAAAGAGGCAAGATTTGGGAGAGACAGTGCACAGCGAGGGGCGGGCTGGACGTTCCTCGGAGGCTTGTCAGCGCACAGGTGTGGTTCCGAGGCCAGAACCTGGGAGGGAGGAAGGCGGAGACAGTTACAAAAGAGCAGCCCAAGAAAAATGCCACTTACTTTCTCCCAGTCCGCGAGCAAGGAACTGCTTATTAGTTAAAAAAAAAAAAAAAAAAAAAACACGAGTTCTACTGGGATTTTTTTTTTGCTACATCTTCTTGCACTCCACGAATTCCTACATCGACTGCAAATTGCCCTTTTTTTTTCTTTTGGTAAATACTGGCCAAAGAATTAAGATCGTTACGTCCTGCGTCCTGCGGTGCCTTTTCGCAGCCCGAGTTGGGGGGCGGCGGAGTGCGGGTGGGGAGGAGCCGAATGCCATTTCCAGGCCTATCTAGCACCCAGATCCTTGCTGCGGCCAGGACCCAGGCCGGCCCCTGCTGCCTAGGGGGCGCTTCGCTCTCGGAAAGCCACAGGTTAATAATAGGTGCTATTTCGCAGACTAGTCTTGCAGTCTCTGTGTGTGCTCCGGTTCTGCAAGTGACAGCGTCACGTGGTTTTGTCAGTTTTCTTCTCCACAGATGTAACTGCGGGGGCCGAGGGAGGGGAGACTAATTGGTTTCTTTGTCATCCAGTGAGATGGTTACCTCCACCTCCCAAATTCCTTGACATCCCCATCCATGGCCAAAAAAACTGAACTTTTTATCCATTGGCTCTTATCCTAATATCTCAGTTTGGTTTTCATAACCACAAGACCAAGCTACTCTGTACCCTACCTGCTTAATGTCCCTGCCTCTGTGACTTTTCAAAATGCATGTCTTTTAAGTGCATTTGCCACCTTCATTTCTATTTATCCCCTGCTCCCTTTGAATGAAGAGATCAATAATTGCTCTCCATCTTATCTTTTCCTCGTCGGTCTTTCATGAGGCAGCTCTTTCTTGTCCTCTTCAGAGAAGTAAACAAGCTTGGCATTGTATGGTTAGGTCTCTGTTCTAATCACATTTAGAGATATTGCCTGATGTTTAAAAGCTCTTGTTTTGATCCTGCTTACTTTTCCCTCAAAAAAGACCTTATTTTGGAATCTGAAGTAAAAAAAAAAACCCTTACATTTCAGTGCACCATAACTTAAAACCCCTCTGTGGTTGGTTTTTTTTTCATTTTCTACAGCTTTGACGTTGTCTATTCTGTAGATATGAGACAGAATAGACAATTCCTGTGTAAAGAAAATAATGCACATCATTACTAGCCTTTCAGGAAGATGGACTGTGAAGGAAAGTGACTTTCAGTTTATTCCCGGCTTCTAGCCTGTTTGTGTGTTAGATGAGGAGATGAGTTGGTGTGGGCAGCCAGTGGAGTGGTGCAGAACAGAGTCTTCCTTTGATACCTCCCCAACTGAAAGGAAGGTTTGTTGCTGGTGGCTGTGAAGCAGCAAGAGAAGAACACAGTCATTTTTTTCATTGTTGCATAGGAAAAGGCAGAGGAAAGATAAAAAAGGAGCGAACAAACAAAAACGTGTGATACCTGTGAAAAAGAAACTAGAAGAAAAATCAGCAAAACTTTCAAGGTGTGAAAGTGTTTCAGTTATGAAATAATAAAAAATAATCTTAAGAACATGTGCAAAGATTTTTTGGTGGAATGGTGCCAAATTGACAAAGTACACAACGGGATTTGTTTTTTTTTTTTTAAAGCACAGTGTACATAATATGCTGAAAGTTTAAATTCTCTGGAGGTTATTCCCAGATAGAAATTTTACGACTAGTTCTTTTCTCTGGGTTGGAGCGATAGCACAGCAGGTAGGGCGTTTGCTTTGCACACGGCAGACTACTTGGACCCAGGTTTAATTCCTCCGCCCCTCTCGAGAGCCTGGCAAGCTACCAAGAGTATCTCGACTGCACGGCAAAGCCTGGCAAGCTACCCGCGACATATTCGATATGCCAAACACAGTAACAAGTGTCACAATGGAGACGTTACTGGGCCCGCTGGAGCAAATCAGTGAACAACCGGAGGACAGTGACAGTGACAGTCCTTTTCTCTAGCACCACCCCTCCTTTCTTTACCTTACCCCCCAGGCACAATGTTTGGGGACAGAGTAGACAGCTATTCACCAGGCACCCATGTTCATATATTCCATTTACAAAGAGGTTGTTTCCTTGCATGGCAGGCAATATTGAACTTAAAAATTCGGATCACTGAAATTTATGTCTCCTTAGTCTCTTGCATTAATTGGATGGTTTACTCTGCACCAGTTATAGGATTAATGATTCCACGCGGACTACAGTCTAGACATTGCTATCTTAGAGCAGAGGCAGGACTAGGTAAAGCATCTAAACTGCAGCTCCTTAGGGGAGGAAAAGATGCTGATCAGGAAGCTGTAGGGCCAAGGCATATACCTCAGCCATTTAGATTGTACACACACATACAGATTAGTTTGTAAGTAATTCACAATACTTAAGGAAAGAATGTCCCAAGTCAGGCTTCATCTTTTATTCATAGCGCTTCTAATTTCCATGGTTGATGTTAACATAGATAAGATAAAAGAAGAAAAATGAACCAGGTACAAATGAGCTCACTAAGAATTGGCTGCCAATGAAGGAAGGTAAAAGATGAAAGGTCTGCAAATTAAATTAGAGGCGCAACAGGCAATCTGCGTTCAATTATTCCTCACTGGTAACTGGAAGGATGCTTTCTTCTTCCATATAGCTAATTTTCATCCTTCTCTTTCAGCACAGCTGTGCTAGGAGGAAAGAAATATTTTTGTCGAATTATCCTATGTTAATAGCAAAATCTGTTTGCATATGCAGCTCGGTCGGAGTCCCAGAGCCCCAGAAACTGGCCTGTCCTTTGGAGGTGGTTGGGGTTTTCAGATTTCCAATGTCTCAGTATTACTTCCTTCCTACGGTTTGGATGGGATTTTGCACTGTGGTTGATAGGTACGGCTGACTGTTTGTGCACCTTATTGATTGAGGTCCTCAGAAAAGCTTATTTGCAAAAGGATTTAAAACTGCTTTCATAAAATCTACAGCAACAGATAAATGTGACTCTCTGGTCATGTTTTCAATAACACTATTGATCAGATTTCTGTTCTTTAGTAGAAAACCTTCCAAGCTTTTCTGAGTTTCAAGCTGATGCTTTTTTAGTTGAGGTTGCTTCCACCTTTGGAAATCAATTGACTTGAAAGGTTAAAAATGGCTTTTTCTGAGTACGAAAAAAATATTCGCTTAACTTTAAATTTAATGAGGTAAACCTGGAAAGACAGGCCAATTCTAAGATGCCGAAGGGACTCATGAAGGACTCAGTTAAATGAGACTATCTAGGAGATGTTTTTGGCAAGCAGTGAGCCTGGGGACCCTTTGCTTCAGATTTTTTAAGTGAATGTTCTTTAGCTATTTGTGTAGTAGGTAAGTGGAGAAATCGAGCATTAATTCTGTCTTGCTCCTTTTTTGAAATGTTTATGCTCTTCCAAGACCCCTTTTCATGCAGAATTTTGGAGCCACAATCCAAAGGATATTTAAACTTACAGATTTGGTACTTTCCCCCTAAATAGTCAATTGTGTATGGTATTTCCTTAAAGTAAACCCAAGGCTTTACCTTTTTTTTTTTTTATAACCTCTGATAGTTCTTACTATGATAAGGAAATTGTCTTTTCAAAGTGAAGCAACCTAAAAGATTCGCTTAGGTGTAACATAAAAATTATTTTATTTTGTGTTGTATTTATACCCACCTGAAGGCATATTAGTAGTGATGCCAAGGGTCTGATAAAATGTGAGATTTTTGGAAATACTTGTATAAAAATCCAATTGGTTTTTTGGGGCTGGGTTTTAAATTTGTACATATTCTTTACTTTCTCTGGTTTTACAGTTCTTGAATTATGGCTCATTTTTGACAGCTTCTTTTGGAAACCAGCAGTTTTCCTTTGGATTTTGATATTTTAATGGACCAGAAATAACAATTTTGATTTAAAAGACATTCTCCCTTCTGCCTCTTCCTACTGTTTTTTTTTTCATTATTCTTTCTCCAACCTACTTTTCACTGATTATTTCTCATGAATAGACATGAAGATAAGTCTGGATTACTTACTTGCAATGAATGTA